CCGGCCAGCGGGGGAACCCCAGCCGCCGGCTGCAACCCTCCTCCCCTTCCCTTCCCTTCCCTTCCCTTCCCTTCCCTTCCCTTCCCTTCCCCAGAGCCAAACACCTCCCCTCCCTGTTATAACCCAGTCCCCTTTCTCCCCCAACCTTATGTCCCGGCCCCAGCTGCTAACAAATGCAGGCTGAAGCTGGAAGCGCACGTGCGCTTGAAATGCAACCCTCACCTTTTCCATTATTTTCAATGGGAAAATTGACCCCGAATAACACGTTTCATTTAGCATGATCATTTTCTGAAACGTATCTACTGTGCTAAATGAGGAATTACTGTACATCTATTCCACTTCAGGTGAGTGCACATTTAGGCTATGTCTACACTACAAGGTTATTTTGAACTAATAACTCTCAAAATAACTATTTCAAAATAGCATGTCTACACTACAAATCCTCATTGAAATAGTGCAGACCTATATTGGAATAGCACATCCATATGGATTGGAGCTTGAATCGCATGTAAAGCCCCCGGAAGCACTCTGGGCAGGGCATCAGGACAGCAGTCACTTCCAGTAGCTGCTCCCTGAGGCTAATGCTTAAAGGGGCTCCCCTCTACAGCCATGTCTCAGACTCTTCTCCGTTGTCTACCTCCTTGAGGGATAGCAAACTCTTACTTCATGCTCTGGTTGCCCTTGCGGACACCACACCACTTCCACCATAGAGCCAGACCTGCTGCAAAGCAGTCATCAGCTCTTAAACCTACTGCTGCAACTTCTGGTGTAGTTTATGAAGGCTACCCTCGTGGCACACCCAGGAGGATGATGACCAACCCAGAATGGGTGACCTCCTCACCCAGGCCTGGGTGCTCCTCATGCACTCCCTCCCACACTCCCCTGTACACCGTGCACTGCCGCTTCTGGCACCAAGAGACCAGTACCGACTGGTGGAGCCAGACCGTCATGGAGCGATGGGACGACCAGCAGTGGCTCCAAAATTTCTGTATGTGGAAGGACACTTTCCTTCAGCTCTGAGAGTGACTCAACCCTGCCTCCCAGCGATGGGACACCCACATGCAACCCACCATCCCCCTCCAGAAGCATGTTGCCATTACAATTTGAAAGCTTGCCATGCTGGACAGCTGCCACTCTGTTGGGAACAAGTTTGGTGTGGGGAGATCAACCATTGGGGCCATGCTCATACAGGTTTGACTCTTTTGCTATGGTCCTAGGAGGTGGAAAAGCACTGGAATGGGTTCCCTAGGGACGCGGTGGGGGGTGGGGAACTCTCTCCCTGGAGGTTTTTCAGTCCCTCCTTCACAGTGCCCTGCTGGGGGTAGGGTAATTAGGGCTGGTCCTGGCGTGGGAAGGGGCTTGGGCTCAAGGAACTCCTGAGTGTTCTAGCAACCTTGTGATTCTGATTCTATCACTCTACAGGTGGTGAGGGCCATCAACGCCATCCTGCTGCACAGGATTGTCACCCGGGGCGAAGTGGACCCCATTGTCATTTACTGCCATGGGCTTCTTCAACTGTGTGTGGGGAGGGAGGTATTGACAGCACCCACATCCCCAGATGGGCCCCTGATCACTGTGCCTCAGAGTTCATCAATAGGAAGGAGTACTTTTCAATGGTGCAGCAGGCACTCATCTTTAGGAACCCTAGCCTGTTCCGGAAGACACATGCCAGCACTTTTTTCCCCCTGACTGCACCCTCAGGGTCAGAGATTTGGACATACCCATCTGCATTGTGGGCAGTACAGCCTACCTTTTGCTCCTCTGGCTAATGAAGTCCTACATGGGACACCAGGACCCCACCAGGGAATGGTTCAATGCCAGGCTTAACAGGTTCTGCATCATGGTGGAAGGTGAGGTCCCAGTGTCTATTCACCCGCCTGGACCTTGGTGATTGGAACATCCCCCAGGTGGTGGCAGCCTGCTGTGTCCTCCACAACTTTTGTGAGTTTATGCAGTTTATGGCCAGCAGGGCTTGATTATGAGACCTGCTAACTACCTAGACCACCATATTCCTGCCAGGGTGGAGGGCAGAGACTGAATGGCTCACAAGGGCTTTTGAGCAGTCAGCACCACTGCCATCAGGGGGCTATGCTCATCAGGGATGCCCTGAGGGACAGTTTCATCCAAGGTCAGGTGTGAAAATCTCCCCCAGGCATACCCACCAGGGGCCTCCCTGTATGCCTTCCCTCCCACACCTCTCCCTTCCCCTGCTTTCTCTTCCCACCTTCCCCCTCCCACTTCCCTCTCCTGCAGACCAAATAAAAAAAACTTTTTGTTTGAAACAATAAACTCTGTTATATTTTATTTGAGGAATATATAACTGGGGAGGGACTGGTGAAAGAACTGGAAGCGGGGAAGAGGAGAAAAAAAGGGGGAGGAAGGGCTCAGGGATGGGACTAGGACCGGCACCTGCCTCAGGTGTGTTGGGACACCTTGGCTGCCCAAGAGGTCGCACCACTTCATATGTGTGACACTGGTGTGGGCTAGGAGTAGAAGCTGGGGGCAAGGAGGAGGGATAGCTCAGTGGTTTGAGCATTAGCCTGCTAAACACAGGGTTGTGAATTCAATCCTTGGGGAGGCCATTTGGGGCAAAAATTTGTCAGGGATGGTACTTGATCCTGATGTGAAGGCAGGGGACTAGACTCAATGACTTTTCAAGGTTCCTTCCAGTTTTAGGAAATAGGCAATCTCCATTAATTTAATTTAAAATTTAAAAAAAATTAACTGTTCAATGACGGAGACCAAGTGCTCAATGGCATTGGTGTATGTTGTGCACATCATCTCCTGCTGCCAGGACAGCTGCTCCCAGATGGTGTGCTGCAGCTACTTGTCCTGCTCAGAGAATGGAGGCACTCGAGATGTTCCCACTTCAGGTTGTCACAGGGTCACTGGCACCTGTGGGTCTTGCAGGGTTGGAGGATGGCACAAGAGGTGTTGGACATGCCCCACTCACAGCTGGCCAAGCTGTGAAAAGTAAAAAGAGCAGTCATCCCAAGGGACACTGCATAAAGCCTAGCCCTAATCTCGAGCCAACACCGAAGGTCTTGGTTCAGACGATAGTGCTGTGCTTCGAGCAAGGCCATCTGTGGCAGTGGTGGTCTCCCACAGACAGAAGACTTCTATTCCTGCCCACTGTAGGAGAGGCAGAAGGGTGTTGGGGGAGGTGTGTTTGAGTGACAGATTCTGCTTTCCCGAGAGAGTGCTACAGAGTCCTCTCCACATCTTCCCCCAGAAGGTTCCCCTGCAGGGGATCGGTGTCCTCTGCTTTGCCATGCTTGACTGGAAGTGGATGCTGTCTTGAGAGTGTGGGCATGAGCCTGTGCTGTGTGCAGCACTGCTATGTGTTTCCATGACCCCAGCCTCTTTAGTGGTGGCTTGTCATGGGAAGCAGTCCCACCACAGAGTCCAGAGTAAGGCAGCCTTGTCCAGGAACCTTGTGAGAAGGTGAGACAGGTTCCTGTGTGGCAGCCTCATGGGGCTGTGTGCTCTGGATTGGTGCTCCATGTGCACCCACATGCACAGGCTGTTGTGTGATCCCCAGGCCGAGAAGGCTGAGTGAAGAGTGTGCAGCCCTTTGCAGCCCACCACCTGCCCCTGCTTGTAGATAGGGAAAGGGAACTCACAGCCTATGCAGCCTTCCCCAGCCTCGACCAAGCCATGAGAGATATCGTGGGAGAGAGGGAACGGCTCCAGGGTGATAACCACCTCCTAGCTGGCAGGTATCATGTCCAGGCTGGCCTCCTCCTCCTTGTCATCCTTGTTGTCCTGGTCCATAGTCCTGTCCTCCTGATGGCTGAGAACAGGTGTGTCCAGGCTGGAGTCCATGCCAAGGTGGGGGAAAGGGACTGACCCCACTCCCCGGATGCCATCCAGCTGCTGGTAAAAGCAGTAGGTCTGGGATGCCGCTCCAGATCGGGAACTTTGTTCCCTGGCCTTGGTGTAAGCCTAGTGCAGTACTTTTATTGTCATTCCAACCTGATCCAGGGTGCAGCTGTTTCCCTTCTGGGTCAGGCTGGTGGCCATGAGGCTGTATACTTTGCAATTCCTGTGCCTGCTGTGCAGATCCTGGAGATTAGACTCCTCGCCCCAGACCTCTATGAGATCCAGGATCTCCACATCAGTCTAGGATGGGGCCCTCTTCCACTCCAACCAGGGGCTTTAGAGGTGGCTGCCAGCCTGCTAGCAGCCATAAGTTGCTTGGAGAGAGCAATGGGGTCTGCCATGGCAGCAGGAAGGCTGTGCAGGGTCCTGCTGCATGGCACGGTGCAAGCAGGGCTTGTGTTGTGCCATACGCCCTTTTTCTTCTGCCAGCAGCTTTAAAGCCTGAAGGGGAAGGGAAACTATAGAGTTTCAAGGGATGTAGACAGAGTGGCCACCAGGGCAGCTGTGAGAAGCCCTGGAGGCCAATTATTTGAAATAAGCATAGCTGAGCTGTCCGCACCCTCCCTATTTTGAAACAGCAATTTTGAAAGGGGTTATTCCTCGATAAATGAGGGTTTATTGTTTTGAAATAAGAAGCCTGTTATTCAAAATAACGGACTTGCTGTGTAGACACTCACCTTGTTATTTTGAAATAATGTGAGTTATTTCGAAATAACTCTGTATTGTAGACATGCCCTTAGTGTGCACACATAAGAGAATTTCCTAGTCAGCAGTGTCCACTAGGGTTTCACATGCAACCTTCCTCTCTTCATGCATCCCAGCAAGGATTTTTTAATGGTGAAGCCACTCCACCACTCCAAGTTCCTTTGCTACTAAGAGAGCCCATGATGTAGACCACTGGAAAAATCCATAAGATGCCTTTCAGTAAGCTCTTTGTCATGGGCAGGCGAAGACTGAGGATTAGTTGGTGGGAGGAGAGCTGAGAGAGCTGCCAAATGAACCTGCAGCAAGCTTTGCAAGAGCTCAGAATGCTTTAGGTGCAACAAGTACTGTTCTGGGGTGGTCTAGGCAGTTAGCAGGTCTCATAATCAAGCCCTGCTGCTTTAGTCTGTCTTTTAGTTCAATGTGTGACAGACCCCTGAATAGGATTCACTTTAGTCAATTTTCTTATGAGCACAATGACCATACTGGGTCAGACCAATGGTTCATCTAGCCCAGTATCTTGTCTTCCAACAGTGGCCAAGGCCAGGTGCCCCGGAGGTAATGAACACAACAAATCATCAAGTCACTGTCACTCATTCCCAGCTTCTGACAGAGGCTAGGGACACTTCAGAAAATGTTTTTCATTTTTGCGCATCCTATCTAATAACCATTGATGAACTTGTCCTCTACGAACTTATCTAGTTCTTTTTTGAATCGCTATAGTCTTAGCCTTCACAATAATCCCTGGCAAAGAGTTCCACAGGTTGAATGTGTGTTGTGTGAAGAGATAATTCCTTTTCTGTTTGTTTTAAACCTGCTGCCTATTAATTTCATTTGGTGACCCCCTAGTTCTTGTGTTGTGAGAGGAAGTAAATAACATTTCCTTATTCACTTTCTCCACATTAGTCATGTTTTTGTAGACCTCAATCCTAACCCTTATTAACTATCCCTTTTCCAAGATGAAAAGTCCCAGTCTTACTAATCTCTCCTCTTTTGAAAGCTGTTTCACACCCCTAATAATTTTTTGTGCCTTTTCTATACCTTTTCCAAGTTCAATATAATAGAGGTATAAGTAAGCCTGCGCCCTCCAGTGCGGAGCTCCAGCAAGAAGCTGTCCAGCTGGGGCACTTTGCTGCAAAGGGAGAGGCTCCCGGATCTTCCTACAGGCTGCTCACTCATCAGCAGCCAGCCAGACAGGATAAAGGGGCTGGCTGGGGCCACATACCCCCATCTGGGACTATCGAAGCCCCAAATCCCCTCCCCTGCACTGCAACTTTGAGGGTTGGCAGGGGCCTGCAACTGTATATACTGGATCCCTGTTGCTTTTCTTCTCCTTTCTGCAACTTCTGACTCCCAGGGAGTGAGGAGAAAGCGCACAGTGTACTGCATTTCTCCTCTGCCCCTCCCCTGGGCAGCCAGGAGCAAGAGGAATTCAGCAGCCTCTTCACTTTCCATGTAATTTATTCAAAATAGGTATCAGACCTTTAAAAAAGTCAATAATTTTGACCCTCTTGATTTTAACCAGCATTCTCTGATGAACCATTAGAGAGAGAAACCAATTATTTATACCACAATTAGTAACTTGACACCCCAACTTCCATATGGCATGGAACAGCATTTTTCAAACCTTTTCAGGTGGACTACCCCTTATTCAAAGTAAAACAAATGCATAAATCCTTTACATTTATTAAATGTCAGAGTAAAAAATGTATAATAATAATAATAAATAATACAATTTGTGTATTATGAGAAGTTGACAGAGGATACTTTCTTGAAGTGTATGTCTACACTGCATTCCTCTTTCTAGAGAGGAATGCAAATGCAGCCGAGCGAAATTGCAAATGAAGCCTCATTTTATAAGGAGTAAGGGTTATTTCCAAAGAAGGGTTTTTTCTCAAAATAACCGCATCTACACAGTGTTTTTTATCTCAAAATAGGGCATTTCAAAATAGTAGCCAAATGCGATTATGCAAATGAAGCATGAGAAATTCAAATCTGCACTTCATTTGCTATTTCACTCAGCTGCATTTGCATTCCTCTCTAGAAAGAGGAATGCAGTGTAGACAGACCAAAAGAGTGTGGAGAAGGATGGAGTAAGATTTTCTCCATTTCTTTAGTTTATTATAGATTTTCACACTTTTGTCTGAATCTTGCCATGAATAAAACTATTTTAATAAAGAGAAACCATTTCCATTTAATATTTTAAAATTAAAAAAATTATCAGATGTGACCAACAGACCAATTTTATTCATACTGTCTGTTCAAGCAATTACTAAAGTTTCTTAACCACTGCTGAGTTAACAGCTAAGTCTCTTGTTAGTTACTCAAAGGGACAAATATTACAGAAACTACTTAGCCAGCAGAGAGCCAAGTGACTGGGCAGTACCAGTAGGTCTGGAAAAATCTGTCTCTATTAAAGGAACCACTTCCTCTATTGAAAAGGAAGCAGCATATGTACATAAATCCAGAATACCATCCATCGTATAAGGAAAAATGTACTATTTTTTACTTAAATTATTTTAACAATTCTGTGTCAAGGAATGAAAAAATAAAAAAATAAAATAAAAAGTTACGTGTGCCCTAGAAAAGGGTATTCTTTTTTATTAAGATTCCAATGCAGCAATCTTTACAGAAAGGATAGAAGCATTTTATAGAATTTTCCATTTCTAAACTACATATCCGAATGTTTTTACTTAGATATGTTCTTCTGAAACATTATTCAGTTTTCAGTGAGATGTGATTTTTTTTGCTAACAATATCTTAAGATTTTAGTTAATGTATTTACAGAGCTATGTAAAATTGTGATCAGAAATAGGTAAGTGATCATCACGATTCATGTTTGCACTTGGAAATATCCTTACCTTGTTGTGGCTATCTTTTCTCCTTTTTTCCAATCCCAAAATACAATGGTGTGATTATCATCTAGGCCAACAGATGCCAAAAACTTCCCATCAGCTATACAAGAGAAATATACAGCTTGTATAACACAACAGATTCACTGCAAATTGAATTTCAAAGTGGTGATAACATTACAAATTGAATGTTTTACATTGAGTAACAAATAAATAGTCAAGCAATTTTATACTGAAAGTACTTTTACAATTCCTGATCAAGGGCACTGCAAATCAGAAAGACTTTGAAACACAGTTTTATGAATGGCCAGATTTGAGAATAATACATGTTGCTCTCAACGAGGTGCCCCTGCCTCTGTTTTCCCACCAGATAAATGAAGTCAGAACACTTTGAGAAAGCGAGTCCAGTTTGTCCAAATGGTGGGGTAGAAGACAAGAAGATGTATACTTTGGTTGAGGTGGAAAGAGGAAGCTACTTTGGATAGAAATTTGGGGTGTAGACGTAAAGAGACTTGGTCTTTGTGGAAGACCATGAATGGTGTGTTAACCATCATGACCGCCAGTTCACTGACATGGTGTGTGGAGGTGATGGCTATGATGAAGATTCTTTCATGAAGAGTAAGTGAGGGAGCAAGTGGCAAGCATTTTGAAAGGTGGCTTAATGAGAAGAGAGGACCAAATTGAGATCCCAAAACAAGATGGGCTCGTGCATGTGTTGAAAGGAATTGAGGAGGCCTTGAAGGAATTGGAAGGTCATTCGATGAGTAGATAGAGAAGCCATCCACAGGAGGAAGAAAATCACTGAGTGCTGCTAGATAAACACAAATGGAGGAGTGAAGCAAGGCTGATTGGTAGAGATGAAGAAGATAGTGTGGGAGAACAAGAATGAAAATGGAGTCCAGAGAGTTGGAGTGGTTTTGGCAATGGCATGTCCATGCACTGTAGTGGTGTCATTAAGCTGCAGAAGAGGTCTCAGTTGCAGTTGTCTGTGATCCTGCATTAGGAATCTGGGAAGGTTGGAAGAGGAATGAAGAGGAATTGGGTGATGAAGAGCTGAAGAAGACTTGAGTACAGTACAAGAATTGGCAAGGCCAGGAGGGAGTTACAGGGATAATTGCTGCATAGTCCCTGAACACTTTGCATAGATGTAGAACCTGGGAGCGAAGGAAATGGATGGAAAGGCGCAGAGGAAATCTGAAGTCCAGGAAATGAAAAGGGAATCACCCTGTGAGCCCAGGCCCCATTGGAAGTAGAAGAGGGGAAATTTATGGCTTGTGGACATCACAGAGTGGTTCTGGATTAGTTGTACACATGGGCACATTGCCTCCTCCACTGGAAAGTTTGGGAGGTGAAGTTCATGAGCTGCTCAGATCCACAATGGAAATGAGTGGCAGATGAAGCAGTGGGAAACTACATAGGCTTCACACAGGCAATACAGGCAATGAGTGTGTTCATCACTCACCAAAAAGAAGTGAGGGCATAAGGCAGAGTTGTTGAAAATGGCTTGCTGGGGCAGAGTCCCTGGGCCAGGGAAGGGGAGAAGTCCCTATAGAGGAAAAACTCCAAGGAAAAACCTAACTAACTACTGTGAAAGAACAGACACCGATCTAACTAGAAAGAACTATGTACAATGAAAAGGAAATGCAGTACTCTTAGATGGCTAAGAGCACTGAGGAACGATGGTTCCGACTCTGGAGCAGCATCTACACATACAGTCAATACATGACACAAAGTGCGAGTCAATGGACACTACTATTTACAGTTCTGCATCTGACACATGTTGTGCATGTGCACCCTAATTTCGAATCCACATACAGACCAGAACTTGAAGACGAAAATAATCCATTTTCAGGGGGGAAAAAAGCCACATACTTGATTTCCATACACAATCCTGCTTTTATCAAACAGACTAAGTGAAATTGATTTTAATTATAAAAATGTCTTTATCAAAAAGAGAAAATTCATTTTAGAATAAATGACTAATTTTTAATAATTTATTCTGATGTGTGTGGGTTGTTGCTTACCTGAAAAATCCAGTGCACATACTCCTCTTTGGTGTTGGCCTTTCAGCAACGATAAACATTTTAGTGTCTGTGTGTCCCACACATGAATAGCAGCATCTCTTCCAATCTAAATTAGAAGGCTAAACTTACCATCTGATCATAAATTGCTATAAAAACAATATTTAGACCCTTTTCATCTTCAAAACACTTTAGAAGCATTAACCTTTGCACTCATTAGATCTTATCTTCACCAAGAACTGCTCTTTTTAGTTTCTCCACCTCAAACTTCCACATCCTCAACCACCACATCTCCTTTACTATCATCCACCTGCCTTCTCAGCCATGCCCAGAAACTCCATCCTCCTATGATTTCCTTTCCGTCAGCATTCAGACCTTCTTTCATTCTTAGTGCCCTCTTCCTCACTTTTTATGGTGGATGTTCTATAACCATACAGACGTCTTCCACTTAATAACTTCCCTCATTTTTGCCATCCTTTTAATCATATAGCTCTACTCCACCCTCACTCAGGCTACATCTAGACGACAATGTTTTATCAGAAAAATTGCATTCTGCAGTTTGCGTACCCTTTTCCGATAATTTTGTCAGAAGAGGCTTTTCTGAAATTTGGCCCATCAACACTGGGGCAAATTTTGGAAAAACCTCCTCTTTCAGAAGAGCCCTTCTTCCTTGTGGAATGAGGAAGACAGGGCTTCTGAAAGAGTGCGTCTGCTCTTCTGCAAAAGAAAGCAAAAGAGCAGATGCATTCCCTGGACACAGCGGAGTTTTTCTGGGATACCTCCGATATCCCAGAAAAATTCCATAGTCTAGACTTAGCCTCAGTCCCACACCTAGACCCCAGCTGTCTTTTTTTAACCACCTTTGAATCTTCCCCCATCTCTGCACAAGCTTGAAAGGGAATGTTAACAACAATTTCCTCTCCTTTCCCACCCTTCCCATGGCATACTATCTCGTTTCTCTCCTCCTCCAGTTCCTTCCAGTTTCCTGACCTCCCAACACTTCATACTTTGTTTCTTCCTTCTCCTACCAGGAAGAGCATGCTTTTGTCTCTTCCATCTTAAAGACAAGCAAAAAAAAATCCCTCACTCTTGCTTCTCCTCCTGGGGGAGCCCTTCCTTGCATACCAAATTAGCATTAGGGTTGTAATTCTGAGGCTGAAGGTGTTGCTGTGGATGGTCCATGCTTCAACAGGGCAAGGAGGACAATTTTTCAAAATCAAAACTCAGGGAGAAGTCAAGGTAAATTTCATAACTCATGATTTTTACTACATTTGCCATAATTGCTCCCTCATTTTTGCTTAAAAAATGCTGTAACAAATTTGCAGCCCTAACAATCAGGAATCTAATGTTACTGCTCTTGTTCATCTTATATTGTCATCTATAGATTGCGCACATTGCTAATCTTTACACAAATATTCTGCTACTATCATTAGCTTATCCTCCCTGGCCTCTGCCTATATGTCTTGCCATTCTACTGTGTCGTAGTCTTAAGAATTAAAGGCAAGCATGGTCTTTTACTTTATCAGTACAGTGCCTAAGACAATGAAGTTCTGACCTACTTTGGACTTTTAGGTGCTACTGTTATACAATATAATAAAATAATAATAAAAACGTAACTAAGGGTATGTCCACACTACACAGCTTTTAGCAATATGTGTGTGTCAACATAGCTGTGTCACTCAAAAAGTCAGGCAGTGTAAACATTGGAAAAACTTAAAAAACAATGAATAGTCTTGCAGCACCTTAGAGACTAACAAAACATGTAGATGGTGTCATGAGGTTTCCTGAGCACAACAGTAAACACTGTTGAAAAACTTCCACCTCCTAGGAACGGTGTTTACACCAGTACCTGCCATGGTAAAGATTTGTTGTTCAGAGATGGCGTGAGGGGATTAAGCACCTGTGAATGACAAAAGCTTTGTCACTCAATTGCCAGTGTAGACAAACCCACAATCTTAGATGACTCATGGGAGGTAGGGAAAAATTATCATTTTTTACATTTTACAGATGAGAAGCAAAGGTTCAGAGTGAATAACCAACTTTCCAAATGCCATAACAAGAGAGTTGAAATTCTGTTTTATAGGAATACTCTTAACAGTGTCACTTCATTGTTTTCACTACTGCTTTCCCCAGTAGTTAGGCAATGGCCAGGCTGATAAAACATTCAGTCTGTGGTTTCCAAAGCAGGAAAATGTCTCTCTTTATGACATGACCAACACTCCTAGGTACATACCTGTCCAGTAGCGACATAATCTTTCATTGGATGGATGGTTAGGCTGAGGATGTCATCATCATGACCAAGATATAGTCTTTGGGTGTGTTGTTGCCTACTGTACACAATGGCAACAGCAGCAATATGATAAACTACCTCTCCAGTTTGTGTGTAGAACAAATTATTTCGACAGTCATAGCCTCTGTAACTGAAATAAATACAACGCAAAGGACATTTAATAAGCTACCAAAAAATCTGTGTACTTTGGGGAAAGCTATCTGAGCCCTGGTTTTGAAATAACATTATTCTGAAATAACAAGTGGCGCGTCCACATTACCAATCCTGTTATTTTGAAATAAGGGGCTGGTTATTTCAAAACAACTGCTTTTCATGAGGAATAATGATTATTTAAAAATAGCTTCTCTGAAATAGTGGTAGCAGCAGTGGAGCATCCACACTATTTCAAAATAACTATTCCCCAGAGTTATTCAAAGAAATTACTCCCCAATGCTTGCTGGGGCTCAAAGTCAAGGAAGTGCATCCACATTAAGGGAGCCTGCCTCAGACTAATTTCAGAGCTTCCCTGTAGTGTAGACATGTTATTTTGAAATAGTTATTGATTGAATGCAAGAAAAATATGCACCAAACCAGGTTTGCTTTGCCCTGGTTAGGTACACATTTTTCCTGCATTCAATCAATTACCTCTCAAGTTTCACTTTGATTTTAGGGATTAACTGAACCAAAAATTCATCCAAAACATTCAACGTTCATCTGATTTTGCATCAAAATCATGAGAAAACACAGATTTCCTATGATCAGGATGAGACAACATAAATTAATTCAAGTTCATACTAAGGATGTTAATAGCATAGGGTTAGGGTAATCACTAAATGATACAACCTATCCACTGAAGTTTAAACACACACCATATTAATGCATTTAATAGGCTAATTAAATAGTGAGAAGGGGAGGGTTGGGTTTCAACACCCAAAGTGCAACTTGAAAAGCTGCCTGTACAGTTAATTTAAGACTATCTGGGCTGGGAAACTCACTCTCACTTGCTCCAGAATTTTGTAAATCTACCCATTGTGGCCAATATCAAATTTACAGTAGGGTCACGTAGGCCCAGTATTTCAGGATATACTTTTAATTCAGGGAAGAGGTCACAAAAGACAGATGAATAGTTGCTTCTAAATGTAATTTTTATTCTGTAGGCTATACTATATGCTGTTCTGAAATATTTTAGGAAGTGTATGGACTAAGCTTTGGTAGGAGCACTGAAGAATTCCTGTGTTCTAAACTCAGATATCAGAGGGGTAGCCATGTTATTCTGGATCTGCAAAAGCAACAAGGAGTCCTGTAGCACCTTATAGACTAACAGATGTATTGGAGCATAAGCTTTCATGGGCAAAGACTACTGTGATGGTGGGCCCTGATATCACCATGGGCAGAGGCTGCTTCGCAGCAGCTTCCCTTATCCCTCCCCCCCACTGTCTCTGATAGAGGCAGCAGCAGGCAGCACTGCAGAGATGGTGCTGAGGGAAACCAGCTTTTAAGCCAGCTACCTCCCAGCACCAGCTCCTGTTTCTCCCACACCTGCTGAGTCTCATAGGTTATGTCTACACTGCCACCCTAGTTCAAACTAAGGTGACAAATGTAGGCATTCAAACTTGCAAATGAAGCACGGGATTTAAATATCCCGGGCTTCATTTGCATGTTCCCGGCCAGGCTCCTGCAATTAGGTGTAACAGTGCTACACGCGGCAGTTTAAAGTTAATCCGAATTAAGTCCTTCGTTCGGATTAACTGTTACACCTCATTCCACGAGGAGTAACAGTTAATCCGAACGAAGGACTTAGTTCGGATTAACTTTAAACTGCCGCGTGTAGCCGCTGGCAGTTCGTTTGAACTAAGGGGGATTTAAAAATGGTGGCTGGATGGGAACATGCAAATAAAGCCCGGGATATTTATATCCTGGGCTTCATTTGCAACTCCAGTTGCCTGATTTGCCTACCTACCTCGAATTAATGAGCTAGTATAGACATACCCATATAGAGGAAGCAGGGCAAGGGGAAGCGAGTAGTCGATACTCCACTTGACTACCAGATAAATTATGCCCAAGAAATTTTTGCATGCTTTGATGCTGCAAATGTATTACACATTTCTACTAATTAAAACAACCATAACCAATGGACCTAATGACTACTCCAGAAAATATCAGTGAAAGTCAAGTGGGAGTTGGAAAAGTGATCTAGAAAAAAAAAGGGTGATGCTTAATTATTCCTTTTAGTTATTCCTTGAGTACAATGGTACCTCTTTATAGTTCCCTCCCTAACAATCACAATTGAAATAAAGAGAAATGTATAGGTTATATCCCCATTTTTACCACAATACCAGTAGGCAAGTAATTTACCTGTGAGTAAGCAAAGAGAAATGTTGCATCAAATACTTTACCTCAAATTAATCAAGGTATGTTTCAAAGTATTTATTTAAGCACTGCATTGTTCAATGAACATTGTGGCGTACAAAAGAGAAGTCCAAGAACCTTTACTTAGTAGTTACAATACCCATGTACAAACTGCAGTTTTAAGCTGTCCTCAGGAGCTCTCTCTCTTTTAAGGAAGGGCACTGAATGGTTTTTCTCTTTACTTTGTTGTTTCAGCTGAGGTAGATCTTCTTTGTAAACCTAAAGAATACGTTACATATAATTATACAACTTAAGTGTGTTGTACATAAATATACATTGACAAGTTTCTTAAGTAATAATAATGAAAAAGATAAGGTATGTTCCTTTGTTCAATAATGTACAAGACACAGAAGAAGTCACAATCTGTGCCCTAAAGGGAGAAGGATTCCCTCTAGTGAATATGGGTGTATCTACACTGCAGGCTTAACTCGAAATAACCTACACAAACTGAGCTACGTCAATTGCATATCTTATTTCCAAATAGCTTATTTCAAAATAGGGAACATCTACACAGCACTTATTTCAAAATAGAGCACTCTTCCTCCGACTTCCCTTATTCCTTGTACAATGAGGATTATAGGAGTTGGAGTAAGAGTCCTCCAGCTTGACAGTATTTTGACATTATTTTGAAATAACTGCCTGCTGTGTAGACACAGACTAAGTTATTTTGGAATAGTGTTGCAGTGTAGACGTACCCTATGATATTAATGGAAGATCAATGAAAGATCATTGGTTTTCAAGCAGTTTCATGTATTACATGCTACTTTTTTAACAGTTTTTTTAATAGTTATATTCTAAACTTTTTTCCAACATCATACTTAATACACTTACTCAAAGCTATACATAATAATGAAATAATTACATCAAGTAGTTCTGGTGACATACACAATAAGCATACTACTTAAGTGATTTGCAAATGTCACCAGAATCCTGAGATGGAATTACAGTCTTAATATATACACCAGAGATACAAAATGTTATATATGTAAATTGGTTAGAGATGCTGTAACATTGTGAAACTTCGAGAGCTGTTTGAAGCCATTTAGAGGCTCTGACATCAATTAAATTCACTACATGGCTGAAATATAGCTTTAAGTTATTTCTTTTTTGCACATCCCATTTTCTGGCTTTAGCCAACAGAGAAGTGCCAAAAATCTCTTGAAAATAAAACAAAACAAAAAACCCAACTATTTCCACACTAATTCTGACCTAATTTCAACAATGTATGCTGAAAACTTCATAAGAATGTATGCCCTGGAAATGTTACCACACAGAGGTTCAGATAAGCATCTGAAATTTTGGACGCCTCTAGACAATTTACCTGTCTTCAGCACACACTGTACTGTTCACAAACTTCATCTCTAATTTCAAACACCATCTTTAAAAACTTTTAAATGATGCCACCTGTAAATAAGTCCATTCACTACTAAGGGGCCTACTCATGGTGTGGCATAGCAATTCTCTGGCTTCATTAGCCACACCCGGCCAATGTTTGCTCTGGCACTGTGGTGGCTTCTCTTCCAGTAACTTGGTCCTTCAGTTGGGCCACCATCTTAAGTTCACCCCTTCTGAGACACAACTGTCCACACAAAATCCCAAAACATCATTTACAGACAACATTCTTCCATACCCTCTGAGGCTAGTCATCTGCTTAGCTCCAGGGCATAACCTGTAGTCCCCCTCCACCCACTGTGGGCTCAATAATCCTTGCAATGGATTTGTATGTCCCTTTCCTAAGTGAACCCAGTTCCATCATTTACTCTGGGTTTTGACTTAGGGACATGTACGGAATAGCTAGGCCTGTGCTGTAATTCTCCCTGGGCTAGCCTTTTTTATCCAGCCTTTTTAGTTCCCCTCTGTGTCTTTCTGTCTCCTCCCTGCTTAGTCAGGGTATTTCCCAGACTTCTCCACTTTAAGTTGTTTTGCTATAAATCCAATTTTTTTTGGAACATATCTTGGACTTCTAGTGAGGATAGTCTGTACTCACACATACTCAGTAGAGACTTTCAATTTTAGCAGCTAAAATATCAAAAGTCTCTGTCCTCACTGAGCATGCTTAACTTTCTCATATCTCCTGGTGTTAACAAGATTGTGCATGCTTTATTCCCTCACAGTAACTCCAAAAAAGGGCTACAAGGATGAAGCTGGATTTTCACTGCAATGGATGACCCAGCTGCTCTGACTCAGGATGGGGCTAGCTATTAGAAGTGAGAGTAGGGAGCCTGTCTCTTCTGTGACATCAATGACACTCCCCCGCTAGTCCTTGCTGGAACTCAGATGCTGTGGAGGAAGAGGAAGCCATCTGATTCAAATGCAGAGGGGACAAAAGATGTACCAGGGAAGAGAAGAATGGAATGGATTGGGGAAAAGAGATTGGAGCAAGCAGCAGGGTGAAGGGTGGGAGGGGAGGACTAAGACTGAACGAGGATCCCAGGGAGGGAGCCGGGAGGTGAGTAGGGAGGAATGGGGCACACAGAGTAGACAAGGAGTGGGGAACTGGATTTATCAAGGAGACTGGAAGTATGGAGGCTAAGAGACTAAGCATGGAAGAAGAGACCGAGTAGGCAAAAAGAATGGGACTGAGATGACAAGCCTTAAGAGTGGAAGAGAGACAATACTGGGACAGAGATGTTGGAAGGGATAGAACAGAAGGGGTTAAGAAAGAAAAATAGGCAGAAGAGTTTGTGCCCACCAGGACACATTCCCCTACAAAGTCTGGAATGGAATCTAGATTCACTGAGTATCACCATTCCTCTGATGTTAGAAAACATCTGTGAAACCGACAGGTGACCTGTCTGAGCACTGACATAGAGGACAGTAGCCTACTGTTATCGGTTACTCTACCAGCTCAGAGGTCTGTGCAATAGATCTAAAGTTTCCAGCACTGCTGATGATCCATGTATAAGATGCCACATAGTGGAATTTCTGTTCCTTCATTTGCTTTTTTTGAAAGCCAGACAATTACACACAAAAACTATACTAACAGACCAATGTTAAAGTTGCAAATTCAAGTTCTTAAAAGTTAGGAATTGCCAGCATTACTATTCATAGATTAATAGATTTCAAAGCCAGAAGGGACCAATATGACTATGTGGTCTGACCTCCTGTACTACACAAACCACTGAATTGGACCAAAATAATTTGTATAGTATAGAAAAACATCCCATTCTGATTCAAAAATTGTCAGTGATGGAGACACCACCCTTGTTAAATTGTTCCAATTGTTAATTATTCTCACTGTCAAAAATTTTATTTCCAATCCAAATTTGTTAATCTTCAACTTTCAACCACAGGATTGTGTTATACATTTCACTGATAAGTTATAAGGGGTTATTTGGCAGCTGATTTTTTGTGTATATTAATTTTTACTCACTTGGCGATGATAGTTGATTTGAGCTTCCTGCTCAATATCTGAATCTAGCTCTGGCACATCAGATAAGTCAGAATCTGATTCTTCACTGTATGAATCAATACAACCCTCTGCATAAAAATCAATCCATATTTAACAGTTATTATCTAGTCAGAACAGAATATTATGTCACATTTTCACAAACTTTTAGATGACCAGGAATTAATGTAAAATCTTGAGAAGCTTAAAAGTGTTTACAAACATTTCATGGACTTATTGAAAATTTCTGGTTTTGCATCACAAAGCTAAATACTGATACTTCTCCCACTTCAATGCCCAGGTCTCTCTTGTAAAAAAGCCTGAATAATAATTAATGCAATTCACTCAACTGGGACTATACCTTATCTGTAACTACCTTTTATAGTGGTGACATGTAGAAATTATATGGTCATCCTGAAATATTGCTTGATGTGTGAACCCTTTTCTTGCCTGAAATAATGTATTATATGGAAAAAAACAGTTAATTTCTGCAGGGTCTGAGACAAAGGGAAAAAATTCCTGCAGGGAAATCCAATATTTAGTCAACATTATGTAATTTATATGCTTCTGTTGAATATTACACAATGGACATTACAGATGCATTTTTCATAAAGGATCATTTAAATTGCTCACACAAATCTCCCCTGTTTATAGTTATGTTTGCATGTAGAAACACAAAAAGGCAATTACACAGATAAGTGCCTTTTTCATGCACAATTGGGATTTGTGTGAGCAATTCAGGTCACCAAAAACTGATTCTGATCTAGTACATCTATCTCTTTTTTTTAAGTTTCTTATATTTGGACCCTGAATCCTGCTACAGGATTATTTGAGTGGACTTTTCCTGGAACATACACTAGTCTATTAACTCTCATTAATCTACAGGAAAGCAAAAGGCCTTCTGCATACTGGATGGGTGGCATTTTTTAGATTAATATAAAATATAACATTTTGCTCTTCACAACCTTATGCATTAGTGCTACATATTTCTTTGATTTCTATGAAATATAAATAACAAAATAAATATCATAAACAATGTTCAAAAATAATTATTTTTTTACCTTGTGATGCTGTTTCAAGGATTCCATTTGTTACACTTTCTGGAACAAATCTCCACTGAAAAACAGAGTGATCAGCACCTCCTGTACTTAACACCCACTGAAAATCATGTGACCAACGGACATTAGTTACATGTGCTGAGTGGCCAGCATATTTTCTAAACTTAGCTCCTAAAATATATAAAAAAAGTTAAAAGTGAAAATAGCCAATTAATTAAAAAAAAAACAGTGATATGACAGTACATACATATTTTTTAATGGGGCTCTACATTACAAATCTGTCTCCTGGCTAGTATGCTCTTGGAAAATTCCAAACATGTCAAATAAAGCTTCCATCATCCTAACTGTTTAATTATGTTTCAAAAGATAAGAGGTTATTATTTTTAAAATTTCATGCTGAAATAAAATACAACAAAAAGCTAAATCAGTAGAAAAGCAACAGCACAATAGGCAACAATTATAGAAAGCTCATGATTCAGCTGTACTATTGAGTATATGATAGAGTTGAAATGATTAGACTGTGAAAGAGATGAGCAAGTAGACAACAAGGTAATGCTGGAGTTGGTTTTAGTGGGTACCATTTATATATTGTTTAAAAGCTTGTCTAAATTAAGAAAGAAGTTGGAGTTAGTTAACAATTTTTACCTAAACCCAACTTTTATTCTACTGTACACACAAGGTCAACACATTTTAGCTCACTATAGCTGCTCAAAGTCAGATGACTTCAGTCTAATCTTCCCAAACTGGATGAAATTTCAGAGTATAACAACAATAGAAGTTCTTTACCAAAACAAAGTAGTGATGGAACTAACAGATATTCCTCCATCCTCTCTGTATACTTCTGAAAGCCTGACCAGAAAATAGGGTACAAACTACTCTAAAAACTAGGATGAAGAGGGTCCCTATAACTACCAATCTTATACATAAGTATTGATAAGCTAACAAAAGGGAGAACAATAACCCAGTATTCTCAGTATTTCCTGAAGTAAAATAACCTTCTGAAGATGGATTTTGCATGTCATCAATGCAAATGGTTTGTTTAGTCTTCTGTGTATTAGACAGACGCAACCAAACTAAAATCCAGAAACCAAAAGATGTGTGAAATCCCGATTCTATCAAAATCAATGGGAATTTTGCCATTGACTTAAATGGGATTAGAATTTCATCCTAGCTCTCTTGCATGGCTATACACAGCACTTCCATTATGTCACTGGAGTGAATATTTAAATGGTTACTTGACGTGAAGGGCAATGGTAGGGAACTTTGGGCATGATAGGGAAGATATTCACAAAAACCAATCACTATTGTCTGAGCTTACAAAAACATTATAGAAGGTTTACACTTTCTTTTGAAGCATCTCATTCACCCTGTCATCGTAACTATTTCAATGTACACATTGGACTTTCCTGGTCTAGCACCCTCAAAACCTGGACAGTCCCAAACCAGGGAGTTTGCTGGACTAGGGGAAGTTAATGCTCCCTTACTGGCTGCCTCACTCCTGGGTTCCCAAAGCTGGGGCTCCCACCCTGTTGTTAGCCCTGCTGCAGACAGCCCTGCTCAGAAGCCATCCACTCAGCAGCCACTGGGGATTCTTCAGGGCTCCCTGGTCAAGTCTTCCCTGTTGTCGCCTGGCCCCACTGCCTCCAGGGGTTCTCTGGCTGAGGCAGCCTGGCCAATCTAGCCCGACTGCTGCAGGGGATTGGGTTCTCCGGCTGGGACTCCCCGGACCCTGATAATGCTGGAGAGTTCCCTGGCTGGGGCCACCTGGCCTACTGCTGCTGGTGGTTTTCTAGCTGCTTGGTCCCACTAATGCTGGGGGTTCCACAGCCGGTCTGGGGCTCCCCAGACATCATCTGGCTCAGCCACTGCTGGCTCAGACAGGGCTCCCCAGCCCTCTGTTGTCTGGGTGGCTCCCGCTCCTGCCTACAGGGCTCTTTGGTCCAGCAACATCCATGGCCCTCGTAGGCTGCAGATGTTGCCAGACCAGAGAGTCCCATATTTGGGAGATTCAACCTGTACTGGATCATCAAAAGTATGGACTAAATAATGAAAAATGTAGTCCAATACATGACAATTCCTATGTTGTTTAGAAGTGAATTCTTAGTTGCAAGAATTTTTAGGTAAGGTAAGGAGTATGCTGCAGTGCTAGACAAATTTACTTATATGAAATTTAAATAAAAAATACTGTTTTCATCTGTGCCATCTTTTACATTTCTACACAACAGGAAGATTTATATGTGCCTATTTAAAAATTTCCTTACTTCAGATAACAAAGTTTGAAGACAGGATTACTCATTGTAACAGGTACTTCAGTCTGGGTATGTCTACACTGGCCCCCTAGTTCGAATTAGGGAGGCTAATGAGGGCGACCGAAATTGCAAATGAAGCGCGGGATTTAAATATCCCGTGCTTCATTAGCATGTTCCCAGCCGGTCGCCATTTTGGAAATTGACTAGCCCAGAAGAACTGCCCGCGTCCTCATCCGGCAGAGAAGGGCGATTCCGAAATAAACCCCTTACTTCGAATTCATTCCATGAGGTTTAACTGGTAATTCAAAGTAAGGGGTTTATTTCGGAATCGCCCTTCTCTGCCGCATGAGGACGCAGGCAGTTCTTCCAGGCTACTCAATTTCCAAAATGGCGACTGGCCAGGAACATGCTAATGAAGCACGGGATATTTAAATCCCGCGCTTCATTTGCAATTTCGGTCGCCCTCATTAGCCTCCCTAATTCGAACTACGGGGCTAGTGTAGACATACCCTCTGCTAACCAGATCTGTTAGTAACTAGCAGCAAGGAAATGCACCACCCTCTGAAGTTCCCTCCCATTGAGACAACTTCCATAGACAGATTAATTCAATTCTAGTTACCTAAATTACAGATTGTGTTATATATACTTTATTTAGAGAATTGGCTTGAGGTACAGCCTAGTATTTTTCTTACTGAAGAGCATGAGGAATTCCCCCTCACAAAACAAACCAAAATCTTTGATATCCATCTCTGTTCTGGATGATCCATTTGTCTCCATGGTGGGCTGTATCTGTAGCCATTGTTATTCAAACGAAGAAAATGTTCATGCAAATAGATACATTTTCCTATTCTTCATTGTGCTAAGGTCCACAGATTTGTAACAATTTGATTTTCACAACAGTGACCATACAGGATAGAACGCAAGATCACCCTTTAAATATGAACATTCAAAATATTGCATGTCTTCCATCTTCCTCTGGGCACTAAGTCATAAAGAAGACTATCAAAAAAGGGCTAAAAATTATACAAAATATGTATAATTTGTTTAATTTATATATTCATGAAGATGTGTTGCCTAGAAGATCTCAAATCAGGAAACAGGACTAGTTTAACCTATATAATCAGTGCTCTGAACCACTAGACTTTGATGCTTAACAGAAAGCAGGACACTTCTTAATATTAATAGCAGACATCCTCTGTGAGACAGAGATATCCAAAGGTCTACTGTAGAGTTAATCATGCCTGAGTGTCAAAACCTCTTCAGTCAGAAAGGCATAAAAATCTCTCTTTTGTATAATCCTGGAAAGCAGCGGAAAATGCAGATTGATTTATGGAACATTGCCCAGCATTGTGAGAAGTTATTCCCCACATCTTAGCTTGACACTCATAGAGAGATCATTTTATTGCTGTTTCCAGATATAAAAAGGTCCAGTCACCAGTTTGCTAACCTTATTTACAATAAGTGAAGATGTTTCCAGTGCTAATTCTACAGTTCTGCCATGTAAGGCTTATTGTTCATCTTTTCCTTGATGAGCAGTGTATACAGATATACAAAACTTTGCTTTGCCAGGAGAGGAGAATTTGATTTTTCTGTCAGGGGCAGGGCTGATCATGATCTTTCTAGCTTATTTATAAAAAACACAGATACATTGTCTGTGAACTCTATTTCCTTGAAGTGTGTCTGTAAATGAGATCAGTATTCCCAATTGGTTCCAATAAGAAGTGGATTTTTCTTTCTGTAACACTATGGCCACCTTCATTTTCTATTAATATTCTGAGAGAAGAACATGCACTGGATAGTATTCATCCTCAGCCCAGGCCTATGATCTGACATGAGATGTCTGTGTTGATCATAAATCCATATTATTCCAGAATCTGCTTCACTTGATATTTGTTTCAGCATTCTCTCTGTACAGGATCAAAAAATTGTCCAGGAAGAAATGAAAGTGGATATTTTTCTTCTCAAAAGTCAATATCAATACAATAATGATTCTGGAAGAGATCCCTGAAGCATGTCTCAAATCAAATGGGAATGATTGCCGATAAAAAAAAAGACAAAAAAAGAATGGTAGTCCATATGCAAAACAGAGGACTTCTCTCTGTGATAATAAAATAGGAATCTGAAGACCCTCCTTCAGAAACTTACTCATATGTTTCAGGCGTAGTCATGTTCTGTTTGCCCCCCAGGTCTCTGATGCAGGATATAGGATATATCCTATAAATAAATGAATCCAGAATTCACAATGCATCACGATGGCTCTTGGCATCAATCTAGAAACTGTATTAATTGGATTTACTGCAGCTTAATAGGTGACCTGGCCTCTAGTCTACCCTCTTCAATAAAGGCTTGAAATTGTATTTTGTCTTCCTGAAGGAACCTGTCTCTGATATTTGAAAACTTGCAGTAGTTATGAAATCATACTTCACAAGTAGTGCCTAATTAACTGGCTAGTCATAATCACAGGCTGGAAGATGTAAGCACTCCTTTCCCTAGAAGGTCCAAACATTTAGCCTCCTTATCTGAGGGGTGTCTTGTTGCATACTTCTTTCAAGTAGCACCCTGAACAACCAGGGATTTCAGAACAAGATGTGCAAATAAAAATTCTGCTCTCTCACCTGGAAGAAAGAACTTCTTTTTTTACTCTTAGGAACAGTTGTGCATGTTGCTAGAGCATGCCACTACTTTGGCCACTACCCTGACTGGGAGCACCACCTTATGAGGCACTGCATTCTGTAAACTGTCCAGAAGTTTGTTGGATCTCTCTTGGACCTTCTCCAGAGGAATATGGAACATATCTGCAATCCTCCTTAAAAGATCCTTGTTCTGCTTGTGATCATCCAGTATAGATGGTGAAGCCAGGGCAACTGGAGACGAAAATTATATTCTTGGCAGAACCAGCAGTACAGCTGAATCTGGATCTTC